TATATGCATGTGTGTGTATCTGCTGGAGTTCATGTCTATCTCTCTGCAGCCTGTGCTGCAGCCTGTTTGCCCACCCTGGTTGCCAGCATTCCCCGGGGGCTTCTTCTATACGTGTGGGGGCTTAGCTGCCACCATTCCTGCCCCTGCCCAGGTCTCCTCAGCCACAGGCTCCCAGTGGATCTCTCTGCTCCCCTGAGGTTTCCCCAGTTCAGGAAACCCCCCTGCACACCGTGCTAGAGTGCTCCACTGCTGATTGTGCCGGCATCAGAGCTGCTTGCCTCGGCAACTGCAAGAGCAGAGAAAATCCAGAGAAGATAACTAAAACTATCAAGAGAAAGGAACAGCTGTCATATGAGCAAAGACAGAAAAATCCAGGACTCCTTAGGCTGGAGAGAAGGCAGCTAAGGAGGAATCCCATTAAGGTTTACAAAAATCACAAAACTGCAGATTAAGCAGAATGTAAAACCATTGTTCAACACATCCCACTATTAGAGAAGTAATAGAAGCACATGGAAACCAGTAAGAGTTCCGTTTCACCTACAAGAAAGTACTTCTCTGTGCACGGCTGGCAGGGAACTTCTGGAACCTGCAGCTACAGGAAACTGTGGCACCAGGAAGTTCAAAATGAGATCAAATCCACAGAGACTGGGCCCAAAAATAAAAGACTGAGGCAGAGGTGTACAGTACCACTAAACAAGAACCACAGGCAGTGAGAGAGCTTAAGGGGAATGGACGCAGACAGAGGCCAGGTTCACGTGCTGTTGCTGTTGCCACCATAAGAGGCAGAATACGGGGTCAGATGGACCTGTACACAGTAATTACTCACTGTTGTGTATTAGTAATGCTTGCCAGCCAGAAAGCATCCTATTTCAGATAGACACATTGTGCAATTGGCTTTGTCTCAGGTTTCTCAAAGACAAACAATGGTTTGTTTTGGACAAGGGGTAACGGGTATAAGCTAAAAAAGGGTAGATTTAGACTAGACATTAGGAAGAATTTTTTCACTGTGAGGGTGGTGAGGCACTGGCACAGGTTGCCCAGAGAAGCTGTGGATGCCCCATCCCTGGAGGTGTTCAAGGCCAGGCTGGATGAGGCTCTGAGCAACCTGGGCTAGTGGAGGGTGTCCCTGCCCACGGCAGGGGGGTTGGAACTCGATGAGCTTTAAGGTCCTTTCCAACCCAAACCATTCTATGATTCTATGAAAACCTGTCTACATGGCATCACAATTACAATAATTTTCACAGGTACTGGTACCATGCAGAAGTAGCAGGGACACAGCCTGAGGCCAATAATGGCAGGGACACAGGATGCTAAGGTAAGAAGCTGTTGGCTCCTTTGGTCTCTGTTGAGTTAGGAATGTGGTATCCAAACAAGAAAAAGGTCATCTACAAAAATAGGCTTTTGGTCTCTGTTGAGTTAGGAATGTGGTACCCAAACAAGAAAAAGGTGATCTACAAAAATAGGCCGGCTAATTGGCATTTATTGTTTGTCTATTAACCTTTTCCAAGGCTTAGTCTTAGGAGCCCTGAGATTAATTATCAAGGGACCTAAACGTTCAGTTTCTACAGTTCCCTGAAAATGTCAATGGCTAATAAAAGTCACCATGCATTTAATTACTGATGAGGGTTTTGTCTTGAAGTGCATTTTGGCTTATACCTATAACAGCCAGTTGTGTTGGGCAGTCATTAGTTTCTCTGATTTCAGATAAATCACCACTTCAAACCAGTACATATGCAAACATTCAGTATGGAATTACAATAACCAATTACAGCCCGTGAGAGCTGCAAACAAACAAAACTTTAGTAAAGAATCCACAACAGGTAAAAACAATCCAAGTGTTTCTCACCCGATTTTTAACTCTTATCATACAAGTAATCTCAGAGCAATCTTGAAGATGAATCTTTTGAGGCGTACTTGTCAAGTCTTTGGTGTTCCAAACATACAGGTCGCTACTCCTTGAGTAAGATGCCCACACTTCATTTATCTAAAGCACAATAAAATATATGTTTAATATTGGCACTGCTGACAGGAAGTATATTGTGATCAGTAACTATGGCTTCTAATGCCACAGTCATGCTTCATTTAAACTCTATTAACAATTTAAATGTAATACCTCAGGAAAGAGCTGGAAGCAGAGAAAATAGGAACACACATCCTTCAGGTGATGCTCAATTTTCCTCTGTAGTCGAAATTCAGAAGTAGACACTACAAGTATGCAACTTCCAGTACCTTCAATATTAAAGATAAAGGGTTAGTAACAGAAGTGCCTACTTTCTCCATCTTTATAAACCATAGAGAAAAAAGGCAAAATAAAATGGATGCATCTAACAACTGTCTTGTTTCTCAATCAACAGTGAAACCTTTGAGGTATTTCTTCCTGTTTTTCCCCATATCTAGTTTTCACATCTGTTCTTTCTCCAAACACTATTAACTATTCTGCAATACATACACCTGTTAGAGTCCAAATATAATGAGAGGAGAGAAAACAAACTCCTTAAAATTATAAAACAACCATTTATGAAACAACTTCAAGATGATCTTCTACCCTAGCACAAAGCTTTACATTATTCAACTAAACTCCTACAGAGGGGATAACAGATTTCTAGAAGTGTCCAAAATGTAGGTCTGGAGTTTACCAAGTCAGACCAATACCATAAAGTCTAGCTGAAAATCCAAATGCAACCGCTGTCAGCCCTCCAGTCTTTAAAAGGAGTTTTTCAAAGTTTTCCATTCCAATTTACAGGCATTGCCAGGGGAGGGCAGACAAATACGGTGTAGCCAGAAGTCACATCCTGCAGCAGGGGCAACACCTCCAGGAGTGATCTACGTAGGGGTTTTGGAGGCCTTACCTACAGAAGGCTGCTTAAACAGTCTAAGTGGAGAACGGGGGAAGAACATCGTGTACACGTTAAGTCTCAGTTTGAGATTACTGTATTGTTCTGTCTAATAAAACAGTGTATTATGTGAAGATGTAATTTTTTTTTCCAATTATTTGAGGACTGAACTTACAGCACCACAGTCGGTCATTATGAAGCTTGATAGAAGTGAGATTTTGGCAGGGCAGCTGAAAGACACGATTAACTTTCAGAGTGCTGATATTCCAAGCAATCACTGTTCCATCTAAGCTGCTGGAGTACGCTTCACTGTTGGTACAGATTAAAAAAATAATAACAATAGTATAGTGTGCATTCATGTTCAGAACAGAGTGCATACACAGAAGAGACTTACTTGCAAAATAACCGATTTTACATTAAGCTACATTAATGCTCTTCATTTCAGAGACTGGAAGAGTAAAGCACAGTAAGGATTCCAACTGAAAATGGACTGAAGTCCAAAAGGCTTCAAGGCCAGATACTATAATTATTTTAATAGCAAACAATTAGACTGGTTCAATTCTTTTAAACAAGGCGACCAGATTCTTGAGTGGATAGGAGCATGTCAATCCTGTGCCCAACAAGATGCCTAGGGAAGGATCTAAACTTTTTTTCTTCCCTCACTATATTCTAGGTAGCTGGCTCTAGACATTTAAGCAACCAACAGATCTGGGTTGCAGCCAGGCATCCACCTTTCAATCTGCTTATGTCTCCTATTGGAACAAAAGTATTCTAGTGCAGATATTTTTTTCTTCTTCTTAAGATTATACTTTGGAAACATTGCAGGCTAATTCAGAGCTCTAAGTGAACTACAGCATGCATTAAATCACACACAAAGAGTTAGGTACAACAAAAACTTTCCCTATAATTCTCCTGAAGATTGTTGCCTGATGGGTTTTCTCTCTTTTTCTCTCAAGTTGGGACAAAAATATCTCAAAACTGTTTTTCCTTGCTACTGCACCTGAGAAAACAAATTATACTATCTTTCTTCTTTTTTTTTTTTTAACCTTTAACATTTGTTGTCTTCAGATGAGAAAATATTTTTCAGATGGTTTCCAAGAACACCTAAGCAAATTCTCCCTGA